CACACACACACACACTGTATTTTCTGCATTAAAAAAACTTATCTCAATCTTGTTTCATTTCCTTTAGTGGCAATGACACAACTCATGGTGAAGATGACAGCCAGGACAGAAGAGATGAAACAGTTCAGAGCATCCATCCATCACAGGAGCCAACTATCCTCATCACAGGTGTGTCTGTGTGTGTAGTGTCAGGAGTGCAGTCTTTTTGTTTTGTTTTACTTATGAGAGGGGAAAGTACCACCAAACCCATGAAATAAACAATGTCTGCTAACTCCAAATGAATAATTGGGTTTTATAAATGAGTGTTTTCATCTTTGCCTGCATCAGAATATGTTGAAACTGCAATACAAAGGATAATAATAACCAGACTGAAACATTTCCTTGTCCTCTAATTTCTTAGAATTAAATAATGAAGGCTTTTCTCAAGGGGTAAGGCAGGCCATTTGTTCATAACATGATGAGAATGTGTTTGTGAGTTAACACGTGTTTGAACACAGTGTAAGCCTGATCAAGTATCATTTAGGTTTAGGTGACAAGATTCTAGCGCTGCATATTAAAGCATAAACACAACGCTACCAGATGTGTCAGTTAGGGAGGGTAGAAGATGGGACCAAATAAGCTAAACACTGAGCACTGTAGGATGTAAGGGTTTCAGAAAGTAATTTAAAGCTTGATATACCTCATTTAGAACTTTCTTGTAGGTCTTTAGAGATTTACTGTTACACACTATCACTCACACATTGTGCTCCCATATTCCATGTATTTGCACATGCAACATGTTTTGGTGGAGCAGGGAGTGCAAGTATTGAACATGGCAAAGTTTTCTCCCATTCCCGGTACTCTTGATGTCATAGGTCACGATGTGACTCAGTGTTGATGCAGACCCTTATGTGAAACTCTTGTGTTTTAGCTTTCCTTGAACTAATTTTACTGTCCAGTAAACCTCACGGTCTAATGTAATTGATTATGTAAGCTGGGATATTAACGTACACTTAAAAGCACACACAAGCAGAGAGTATACCCTCGGGTAGCGGGGTTCTGGGAAACACTCGTCAGTGAGTCATAAACCCACCCAGCGAAGTCTGCTGAGATTGCTTCAACACGACCGGCCCGTGAGGTGGTCTTCCACTTCCTGCATCATGCAGAGCAGGCGTGATGACATCATCATCTGTTGAGTCATGCCCCTCTTGCGCTACAGCGCTGCAATCTGCTGGGATAACCCACTGATCGCTCCTCAATGGCTGTGTCTGTGTTCAGAGCCAAAATCAAGCTCCCCCCTCCCAGACAGGACAATACAGTTGCAAAACACATTGACGTTATAGTGGCCTCAGCAGGTTCTGTAGTTTGGCTCTCAGTTTCTGCACTTTCACTCACACACACATGCACACACACCCTCCCGTTCATGCTCTTTCTCCCAGCCTGACCTGGCCTCAGTGAAGATGGATGGAGGTTGTAGATTGCACAGCATGGGTCTTGGCGCACACACTTTGTTGTTTGCAGTCCAGAAGGGTTTTACAATGCTTTCTTGTGTTTTCAGCTTGTCAGTGACAATCACCCAACACTTATGTCTTATCTTTTAGTCTTGATTAATTTGTCTCCATATTCTCTCCATATTCAGAGCTTTTTAACATTACGGGTGTGTTTTCTAAAATTGTTGTAGTATTTACACTAATTCAGCTGTCCAACAAATCAGTGTCTGGGCGTTTCTCTCTTGGCCTTAAGCCCTGTGGAAGAAACAAGCCCTCTATTCATGTCAGTGGTTGTTATAATAGGCTAATGGATGCCTAATGCATTGTTACTTCTTGTTTATATTGTGCAGCCTTAGTCTGGTAACTCCAGCAACCAGTCAATTCATAGTCACCTTCACAATCATCAGAGGACATGAAACATATGGTATTTTCCACGGCAATCTTTTGTGTTTGCAAATTCAGTAAATGCATACAGTTTGGTGAATTTGAAACCTCATTGATATTTGTTGAGTTTAAATCGAGTCTCCACCTATTTGGCTATTGCAAAGTTTGACCCAGATCAGACACTGTTTGCACAATAGCAAATTAATGTTTTAATTGCACTGAGAAATCTATCATGACTTCACCGACATAGTGGGCTACATGATTCCCCTTTGACATCCTTGGCCCCAGTTAGCCCCCGTGCCTCGGGGTGTGTTTCCATATTGCTGAGGCCTGATAAGAGAGAGTAATGACAGAGCAGAATTAGAGACAAAAGAAGAAACTCTCTTTTTGACTTGTTCCCTCCAGGTTTAGCATCTGATTGTGACAACATAGGAAGGTATATCACTCACAAAGGGGTGACTGAAGATAAAAGAGATAGAGATGGAGGAAGGAGAATGTCAGGAGAGGAGAGAATATGTGTGATTTAAAGGATCGGGGAGTGTCTGAGGGGATGTCAGAAGAAAGATATGGATAAAAATGACAGAAATGGGCTTTTTAATGGTCAGGGGGGCTGTAATGCCAGACTCCATTCACTCTTACTCTTACTATCCACATTAAAAGTTTTATCTCCTGATCAGACAGCTAATCAAGTCTTCTAAATCTTTCTTTTTATCTAACACAATTGCTCTTTGAATCTGTCGATCTCAGAATAGGCTAGCAGCAGTGTTAAAGGGCAAACAGGTGTGTTTGTATGCCTGTCCGTATATAAACGATTGTATCCGAGTGTGACCGGGCTTGTGTGGAATGCCAGATCCCCATTCCTGATAAAGGCGAAGGACTTTAGGTGTGGAGTTGTCCAGGGTTAAGAAAGGTCATCTGAGGCAATATGTCCTGAAACTGCCACAAAAGTGCCACAAATGACACTGATGGAGAATCGGTTTAAGAAATGGAGATGGAGAATTTGGGCTTTGGTAATAAAACCACCTAAGTAATGCTAAAAATGTGATATCAGATATCAACCTGCAGGCATTAAGAGGCACACAGTCCAACAGTCAGAGGTCATTGTGAAGAAATGTAATTCTCATCTAGTATCTTTGATTTACAGTAGACATGATTGTTTTGTTTTTGTTTTTGTTTTTTCAAATTAACTGCCCTGATAGATGGTATTAGTTAGTGACACACTTAAAGATTATGTAGTAATCCCCAGAGTATCAGAGGTGGTTTTCTGAACAATCCTATGTTTGTGTGTGCCTCTGCGTGTGTATATATTGTACGCAGGTCGCAATCTGGTGTGCCAGGGCATCTCTGTGGACCGGACTTTTTCTGATGATGAAGATGAACAGCCGAGTTGGAAGCGGAGGTTGCTTCACACCCTAAGCCCAGACTCATCTGAACAGGAATAAAACCGCAGGTTAGTCAGACCAATACAACTAATGTATCACCATATTTGGTATCATAGTTGGTCTTTCCACTGCCTCCCCAAGATTACTTAAATTTTTTGCTTCTTAGCTGTTTTGTGGAGCCTCTCTTCGCACACAGTACAAGGGGAAAAAATATCACTGGAGAAGTTCTAATGCAAAAATATAAGACAAAACAAGATCATATATTGCAGGTTTCAGGTAGGTCATATAAATATAGTGTCAACATGACACAAATAACCTCTCCAGTTAAATAATAAGCAGTTCCATGTGGCCCCAAACCAGACTTTAACAATGCTAGAAAATCATTTCAAGCTTAGTTTTATGGTCCTGTGAACATTTTTTCTCCTTTCCCTCAAATTTCATTCATGACTTCCTTTCAGTTTCTGCACTCAGACAAATGTCTGAAAAACCACCGCAGCAACAGATGTGGGGTACCCTACTGAATTTTTATCTTCCACTCCTCCCATTAAAGAAGGTTGAATCATCAATTTGTCGTCATCATTGGTGTTACAGAAAAAACCACACATGCACACTTCCCGGCATCCAGCAGTGTCCGCCGTGGGCCCTGCACATTTCTGGATAATTATTAAACTGGTTTCTTCATCTTATCGTATTGATTGCGTTACTCATTAGGGACATACAGTACTCATCCTGCTGCCTCTGACCACAGCACCGGTCTTAGATGTGGCGCTGCTCTCCAGATGCTAAAGAATAGTTGCTGTATTCTGCAAATAAATAGGACTGTTTAAATGCAAGTAACATGTTTCGGGTTTTTTTTAAATGTAGTTAGCAGAAAACATAACAAACATTGATTTGATTTTTCACATTCTGTCTACTACATTTAACTTAGTAAACTTTTCTGATTTTCCTGTGGGATTGTGAGAGGTGTTAACATCTTAACAACATGACATTATAAAGATGGACTCACTGGCGTGTGTGACAGAGCTTAAGAGATTTTTCAGCTTCTGTTAATGTTTGGATTTTCAGAGATGTCTCCTGAACATCCGGGCTCAAACATACAATGTTGTCTGGCCACATTCAACAGCTGCACATTTTCTCATAATGTACTGACTCACTGCAATAGAATGACCAGAGGTTTTTGGGCTGTCTCATTTTAGGACAACAAATGGGTTCAGACTAGCACCTTGTTTGCATGCTACTGCTGCAAAAGAGTCTGAAAAGCAACATTTATCGCAGTATTTGTGTCTAACCCTAACCCTATGTCTGTAGTCAGAAGATACACACATTTTTAACACAGCTATATCAGTAACATCACCAGATTCAGTGGTAACAGGGACAGTGATATCAACCTGCAGTTGTGGTTCATTTGGTAAGTTGACCACCTCTTCTACATTTGTTCTAATGACACTTCTTTTAAATCTAAAAACCTCTTAACATCCTCCCACAGCTGACATTTGGGTGTTGGCTGGCAAATAAATGGAACTGAAAATTACTGCAGTGTTTAGTGTTACTTGGTCCAACTAAGCAATGACAGCAATAGCTTTTGAGTTCCAGTAAAAACATCTACATTTTTTTTCTGAACTTCTTGGGCAGAATACATGTTAATTTGGTTCAAATCACTTTATTGAACTGTATTTCCCAAAGTACATCTCCATATTGAATATTAAATTTCAAATGTGATGTTTGTTTTATTAGAACAAATTCTATATTACCTCTAACTTGTTCCCTCTCTCTTCCCCATTCCCTTTTGTCTTTGCCCCACGTTGTTCCTGTCGTGTCTCCATCCCTCTCCTCAATGAATAGATCCATCAAGAACTCATCATGAACAGGAATAAACCCCTAAACCTACGGCTTTCATGATGAACAGATTTTCTTGAGCCATATCCAGTTATGTGGGAAGCTGCTTTCAGCAACCCTCACCTCGATACACACAACCAAAACAATGACAACCGGGCAACAGTGTCCTGGAGGTGTCCCCAGATTTGGTGCCAGATTTTGTCCCAGATAGTGAAAGCAATTTTCAGAAAGCCAGAGCATGTTACTGCCATCTGGTTTGCTTTAACTGTGACAATTACCTGCCACAGGCCTCATGAGAGACTTGCTGCTTGTCTCTAGTTAGTAAATCAAGAGACGAACAAGTAGTGACGCTATCTTTTCCCAAACGGTCCAGACTGCGTGCTCGATTCGATGCTGCCGTCAAGACTTTGCCCAGATGCGTTAGTGGCCCATTGATAGCAGTGACTTAACGCCCTCAAGTGCTTCCTCAGGAACTGATGGCGTTGCTGCTAATGACTTGGACAACATGGTAGAGAATCTGGACCAGGAGTATGGAAGCAATTTCTCTCAAGAGGTCGCCCTGAGCTTGAATTTGGCCGCCGAGCCCCTTGGCCTTGGCTCTGTGTGAGATCGGAGAAAGAGTAACAACTACTGAGGGACAACAGGCTACACCCAGAAAACAGGGTGTCACCAACAAGGCACCGAAGCTGCTTTGTTGCTGCTTATTCATCATGTCCTGCTGATGTTTTCCTCCCTCTTTTCATTATGAAAATAAACTATACGCCACCTCTTTCATTTCCCTTTCCTAACATAGCATTTTGCGAACAATAATTTGACCTCCCCCATTTTTCTCATTTCCATTTTGCCTTTTTATCCTGTGGATGTTCTGTGGCTCAAACTACCTGAGGGGTGTTTTGTAGAGGGTTAATAGGGTTATGTTGTCTCTCACCGTCTTCACCTCCTCACCTCTTCCTTTTACCTCTGCTACCAGCTTGAGGTCCTGAGGTCATCACAGTGTGTCTTCACACTGACACTAATGAACCTATGGAGACCTGCTCAGGCCCTTTATCTGACCATTCTACCTTTGACTTCTGGACCTTCCTGCTGTCTTTTATGGTTCTGATGATACCTATATGTCTGCTGAAGACCACGGGTAGCCGCCAAGATAATCCCATAACACGTGCTTGCTGGTTTAGTAATCCCCACAGGAATGTCACACTCTCTCCTCTGCATCCCATCAATAAGGCATTGTATAAAGGGCTGTGCAATGGAGGGTGAGACAAAGTGTAAAAGATAAGGAGACTATACTGAATATTTCAGTCATTCAGAATATTATGATATCATGCTTTGTTATTATTAATTGTTTTTTTCTTATTTTGAATAGAACCTGGTGGTAATTAAATACATTCTAAATGTTTCTGTTTGTATTTTTTTTATACATGAAGGAGAAGATGTCATATTTTAATATGTGAAATACTGTAAATGTTATTCAAATGTGATCTGGGTAAATATCTGTAAAATGTGTTAATTTCAACCTGACTTGAATAAACATTTTACTTTATAATATTTTTTTCCATTTCAGCATTTTCTAAATCATATTTCATTGCTCAAAATACAACATACAGCTATGAGGAGCCCCCATTTTGTAAATGGTAAATGGACCTGTACTTGTATAGCGCCTTTCTAGTCTTCCGACCACTCAAAAGTGCTTTTACACTACGTGCACATTCACCCTTTCACACACATTCACACACGATCTAAAGGCAAACTAAACTCATTCATACAATTTCACACACCAAGCTATGCATCCGGGAGCAATGTTGGGGTTCAGTATCTTGCTCAAAGGTACTTCGACACGTGGCAGGAGGAGCCGGGGATCGAATCAACAACCTTCCGAATGGGGGACGACCCGCTCTGCCTCACTATTATAATGTTCACAGTATAAAGACAAAAGAATGTGTGCAATGTGTGAAAAGAAAAATGGGCATGTGGAGAGTATGTATAATATAATATAATATATAATATAACGTGTAGTGTAGAGTTTGTGTCATTGGTGGGGTATCAGGCTTTTTTGATGAGGCCAGCTACAGTTAACAAGAAATACCCCTAGCTATATACTACTTATACTAGTATATAACTAAAGCTTCAGGAAAATTTGACAATCAACAATTACGTTTAAAAGTTGGTATATGTTTAACTTTTTGGCTGTTGTCACTTGCACTAAACACACGTGTTTAGTTGTTATTGACGTGCAAATACCTATTAATCTGTAGATTTTAGTTAGCATTGGATAGCATTTGGTACAACACCCTGAAGTTACAACCACATGGCCTTCTAGCAAGGGCACTCTAGCTCAACGGGCTACACAGCAGCCTGTGCAGCTGAAAGGGTTTGTGAGGGAGCGATGATGGCTGTGCCAGGTTGAAATTAAACGTTCAGTCACTTGCTTATCATCGTCATTCACTTACTGCGTGCACCTGTAGGATTCCCATCATCCAGGGAAATGACAGGAGTCTTCCTGCTTTCCCGCCACAGAGCTGCAATGAGACAGAGTGGTCTTTGTTGTTAGGCTGTGCTCTGCTCTCACTGCTCTCCGCCTCGTTCTGTAATGTCTGAAATGGCCTGGCTTTAAACAAGCAATGTTTGAAAACTGAAGATGACAACTTATTTATGAATATATATTGAAATACACTGTTAGGAGTAACAAGTTTACTCATCTTTCAGACATATTGGACAGATTGGTGTATGCTTTCCCCTTTTGATTATTGGCCTACAGCTGGCTTGCTGTTTGAATCAACCAAATTTTGCGATTCAGTAAAATTGCATTGAGCAATAAAAAAATGTGAACACTTCTTCTTCTGCCTGTTCTTTTTCTGACTCGATTTTATTGTGCCAACCGTGTCAGACTGCATTACCTGTTACTCCTTTTGCTCACAGTGGGCAGTACTGCTGTTTCTGCTGGAAGCGGCACACACGGAAGTAAAGCAGTGGGCAGGCTGTTTAAAACTGAAGGAGTATATTTCAGGGCAATACAAAACCAGCAGTGAGCCTTCCTGCTGGGCCACTTTGAATTAAACGTGTAAGCTTCTGCTTTGTGTATAACTGTATGTGTGAGACCAGAGATGCAGTCTATACATATACCCAGACTATTGCTGTCATCATATACATCTGTGCAGATGCTGAATATGCGTTGATGATGTAGAAAAAGATAGCAACAGTATATTGCAACTATAGACTTTCTCTAGCTGCAGAACCAAAAACAAATCTCCACTCCACATTTAATGCTGACTTGTCCTCCAGTCATGGGGTCTTTTCTGGTCTACAAGTTTTGCCAGTGGCAAAGAGTATCTGCTTTGTTTCAACCCAGTCATTAAAACAGCCTTTTGATCAGTACAAATAATGAGTGGTTTCTCTTTGAGATGCTGGTGTGAACTGATTGGCCTCATTATTTGAATTAAAATGAATGTTCTGCCGGTTTTAAGAGAATGGTAGTTGAACATTAAGTGTGTGATAATGACAACCTGCTGCAGTGTTTGCTCGAGGGAGACTCTCTCTTTTTTTACACTTGAAGCAGTTTGTAACTGTAAGAAATGCTCTACATAAAGCTATATTTTTTTTTTAATCTTGCACAGTTACTTGTGTGTAGATAAAACTATTTGACTGCACTTTAATGACAACTCTTGCCAATTATTTTATGGCCCTTTAGGTATGAGAAGATTGAGATCTGACTCAAATTTTAACTCGTTAAGATGAATTGTGCAACACTTGCAAGTGTTTAGGTTGACTTGCGTCACCTTCACATTTTGTCATGACCGGTTGCTATTTAGAAATGTACAGTAATGTACAGTAACCACTAAGCAGTTCTTAATGCAACGTATGCCACCCAAGCATTTTAATGGATGACCAAAATGGATTTTTATTGCAGTTTTACCAAAACATCCTTTAAAATGGTAATTGGAACCAAAGAAACCAAAATGACTTTCTACAGCTGACTTGATTTTCTCTCATGGCTGGGAATGCATTATGTTATTATCCTCACTTCCTCTTGGTCAGAGAGCAAAGGATCGACGAGCCGTCCACATTGCCTTCTCTCATGTAGGCCTAATTGCTGACTGCTAACTGACTGTCTCACACACCCATTTTTTCTGTGGTTAAAGTACAGTGAGAAGCATGACTCCTCCAAGAATGCTATAGGGACTTGATGAATTTTCACATAGTATACGCAAATGTCATAGATCACACATTTTTAAATACCTTGGTGCAGTTGTCAAATATGACACTTACTGAAACCTAATTTGAAATATTGTAATCCTTTGTCCCCAGAGGTCATGTATAGCCAGATTACAGCAGAAGGGATGAGGTTGGAAAATTAAATGGTTCCCACAATGCTGCATTATGTTAACTGCAATTGGCAAAGATCTGTGACGTGGGACTGGTCTGTTTCTGGTTATCAAACCATTTTCTTTGCCCCCACCCCCTTCTTTCTCTCTCTCTCACTCACTTCCTTTGTCTTTGTTCCTTTGCCATCCTATCAGATTACAGTGGTTTGCTAGAAGGTGGCAGATGTAGTGATTCATAAAGTTCCAGTCTGTTTAGCCTCTCAAACAGCACCATTAGAAGTTGACTTTTTCCCAAGGGCTGTGACACTGAGGTTTGGGTTGGGTGGCTGAATCACAATCTGATGAAATCTTGTCATCAATGAGTTTCACAGAATTTTTCTTTTTGTTTTTTTGTTTGTGTGTGAGTGATTCAATCTCATTATGTCTCCAGAGAAAGATTTATGTAGTCACAATCAGTGTTGCACTTTACCTGTGCTTACCTGAACTGACTTGGAGAGACAGAGGGAGACACGTCTGCCTGCAAGCTGCGTCCAGCTGGGATCCAGCCAACTGTAGAAGAGCTGAAGTAGGAAAGACTTTCCATACCATAATCTGGTCTTGTAGCCTTTGGCACCTGGCTAAAGAGTAGAGCGATGTTACATGATAAAGAGACTTGATGACTTAATGAGCACCTGATGAATAAATAAATAAAACGTTTGTGGCTCTCACTAGAGGCACCAATTAGTGGACAGTGGGGCAAGTGTATGTGTAACACCCCTCAGACGGACTGACAGTCAAGCAGCTGTCATGACCACGACTGACTCCTGCCTATTGATTGACACCTGGTGCCTACCTCATTGACACCTGGTACCGAGGACTCCAGACAGTTGTGCCACTTGCTGCAGATGTCCTCGCAATGGCAGTGTGCAGCTCTTTCTTTTTTTTCAGTTCTTTCTTTTTCCTTTCAATTATTGTTACGTTGTTCGGAAGTCGTAGAAAAGAGGGTGTGGTTGAAAATTAGTGGCATTCTGTCGCCAGTTTCTATTAAAACACTATGATATTGCCAAGTCTTAAATATTGTATCTAAAACATGTTAGATTTAGTTAGCAATGTTAGGTATTAGCTGTTGTATGCAGATGGTTACAACATTTTCTTTATATAAAAAAATAGAAATAGAAATAAGAAAAAATCATTCTATATGATTTCAGTAATAGCGTGTGTTGGAACCTGATATTAACATGCTAACACGAATTACCATAGATATAGCAATATTAATCTCAATGTTGGCATATATGAATAGGAGTTACAGTAGAGGAAGCTTTATAGTTGGCAGGTCTAAGTATATATTTAAGTATATTTTTCCCCAATTGAGGTTCAATATTTAAAATGTTTTTTGTTGTACTTGTGTTCAAAGTTAAAATATTTGGTTAAAAATGTACACTCATCGTATTGCTAATGTCATGGTTATCAGTAGAGTTTATTGCTCAATACATGTATTTGTCCCAAAATTGAGGGCTGAATGAAGGAAATGTATATCGAATGATATATTGTGTGTGTTTTTCAGTATCAGTATAATTTAGACTCTAGCCTGTATGTATGTAAGCATCTCTTTAGACAATATCACAGTATGGTTCTAATAAAACAGGCAAAAAATAAATTGACCTGGTTTTGGTCTGAGTAAACACAATTAAAATCAGCTCCCGTGCTGTTGCTTACCTCCCTTGGCCTCTCACTTAAGCTGAAAGGATCAGGTCAGGTGGTCTGGGCCTCCACACTGGGCTCCAAAGGATCAGAGTTCACGTCTGTCCAGAGGCAACTTCATTTTCCCACATTTTCTGCTCTAAACAGGGGGTTCACTCACAAAACATGCACACTACAAGCTTGTTTCCTTGTACCTTGGGAAATCACAGCAAGCTGTTTTTTCTCTGTGTGTGTCACAGGTTTGACTTTTGTTTGACACTTTAATTGTACAACTTGTTTGACATTGTTATGTATTAATTATTTTTTTTCTTCTAGCAATGCCCAGAAGAGTCATTTTACTCTTGACATGTACCAGTTGTAGATATTCTTGTTTAGTTTATTTATACAGGAACAAACATATCAGCTGACTTAGAAGCTATTCCAGATTTTCTCTACTCTGCGTATACTTGTAGATATTGGATGATTTCCTTTTCCAGAACCACAAATATGGGAGGGAAACTGTGTACTGTAAGTA